TGCAGGGAGGAAGACGAGGCTCCACTTCAGCAGTGACACAGGCCGACTTTATCACAAATTGCCTCATCTCTACCTTTACCTGTAATTTCCTTTGCAGTAAGTGATATTCTGAAACCCACTCGGCTGGGAAGAACTGCAGGAAAGTTTTTGATGTACAGAAGAGTTACACTTTCTTTTAATGGAATTTCATTACAAGATTTTCTCCCCTTACTTTGTCATCGATTGATTTTGTGATTACTGAATGTTTAGAGGAGCAACCATTAAAAATGGACTGTGAGGGTTTGGTTGTCTGATTACTCCTTAACAACGTAGTATCCTCCCTTGTTTTACTACAACGACCCTCTTCAGGTATTTAGCCACAGTGAGGTTACATTTCAGAATGTTCCAACAGTCTGTTCCAACCTCCTGGATGAGAGGGGAAACACCTTCAACTGCTACTGAACTGCTTTGGTTTTCATATTAACAAATGTCAGTGAGTAACAAAACAAACTTAACTAATCCACTGCTAAATGTTAAACTCAGGCCCGGGGTGTGTATTAGAGCTGTCCTGCCAGCATATAGTCCCCATCTACTTGCAGGATTTGTAGTACGTATTAGCGATGTATGCTGAGCACATACATTTTTTTGTTGTTGGCCTGTGAAAAATAGATTTTCATTCAAAAGTAACTGGAAAGGCTAAAGAGACAAACTAATACCGCTAATGTGTGTTTTATTTCAAATATTTCTCACCTGTTTATAATATTTAACTTTGGTTGTTTCCAGATTCAGTGAAAAATATGAAAAAAATACAGATCTGGAGAGAGGGGAGAACATGAACAATTGCTGTAAATTTGTCAATAAATATTAAGTTTGGCCCGAGACTTCGTCCCAGGTTTTAATTTTTCCCCACTGAATTTGAGTTTGTCTTTTATCCCCACTTTAGAAGAGGTGGGCGGAGCAGGAAGTGGCCCATTACTAATTAGAGGTGAAGGAACAGAACGCATCCATTCAGAACAGAAGATAAAAGCTGTGAAAATTATTCTGCTTTTCTACTAAGGCAACAACTAAAAAAACACTTTTTAGGGAAATCAACTGTAATTATTTGCATAAAAAGAGACCAGTGAAATAAGTACACATTGATAATTGCAATGAACTTAAAAAAAAAATTCTGCAGTTTCAGAACTGAAGCTCCCACCATTTAGAAAGTTGTGGCCAATGGTATAAACTATATTGTAGACAAAGCTAAACCAGTGCTGAAATGTTTGCCAGAACAAATGGAGGAAGTCTTTAATGAAGACAGCTTTTCATGAAAGTTCCACACTCAATCACAAACTCAACCTCAGTCACTGGAGAAGCCACACATGCACAGTCTCCCCAATGGAACCCATAGAAGTGTTGGCTGGAAGGTTACTACAAATGGAAAAATCTGTCAAAATCAAAACAGCGGCAACGTAAAAATCATCAGCAAATTCATAGAAGATTCTGATCAACAGGTGAGTGAACACTTGATAGATCGCCACAGAAACTGCTTCAGTAGACAACACAAAGAATTTTGGTGCATCATAAAACCACCTAAAGACTGCGTCACAACGTGAAGACCAATCTGTTATTAACAACATTTTAATGCATGGACAGAATGAGACGCACAACGACGCTAGTATAAAATACCATCTGAAGCAGCAGAGGCTTCAACTTCAGGTCAGACTGAGGGCAGAGCACCAACCACAGCTACAGCTGACCAGACGACAGTGGATTAAGAAGGATCATAGAAGAAAATATAAATATTGTTGGACAACAACTTCATAGTTCATTTAGACATGAGTTAAACTTCTACATAATTTAACATTTTCTATTTTTGTAGTTCATCATCTGGATCAGTCGAATACAAACAGGTGTGAAACACGTCGACATTTCCGTTCCATCAACATACTGTCAGGTACAGGGAGCAGACTCAGAACACAGGGATTCAGATTCACTTCTTTATTTATGACAAGTCAAACACAGACACAGGATCAGAAACAGAACTTCAACAAGGCCGGGCAAAACTGAAGACACTCAGACCAGAAGGAACAGACCTGAGAGAAACACACCAAGAAGAACTGGGAAACAGACCTGATGTTCCTGAACGCAGCAGAGGAGACGACAGACGCTGACATGAACCCCAATGAGCAAATGAAGACACAGAGAGGGAGAGAGGACTCTATACTGAGGCCACCAGGTGAGACCAGTGAGACTGATCAGAGAAGCACAGGTGAGACACAGGTGAGACACAGGTGAGACACAGGTGAGGCTGATGAAACTAATTACCCCAGGAGAGACAGAGGGGAGGGCAGGGAGGCAGAAAGACCTGACAACTACAGAAAAGAAGGATTCTTTTTTTTTCATATTTAAGGATGAGAATTTACTTTAATTCGTCATAATAAATAGGGATAGTGATTAATCATGATTAACACACAGCTTCCCTGTTACTAATGGGATCAACATTTCTAATTGATTCACCCAATAGATTGATTGATTGATTGATTTGACCAATGGACCAATCTCTGGGTCACGGGCCAAAATAAGCTTCAAAATTCAACAGGTTCATTTCATTATCAAACTTAGGAAATTGTTTACATCGATTTTTTTAAATAAATATATTATTTAATATTTTTTTAAAAAGTTTCATTAGTGGCAGGACCATACCATGACATTTTCATGTTTTTGAGGCCACACTATTATGGCATTTCTGATGACTTACTGCGTTTTGACATTTTCATCATGTATTTGATGCCTCACTATAGACTCTCTTTGACATTTTTTAATGATTTGCTTTGATGCCTCGCTGTTTTATGACCTTTTTTATGACATTTTCTGAAAGTTTTTCACAGTCTTTATTTGCTGTTAAAGTTCATGCCTTTATGGTCAGTGGTGACTTGGGACTGGACGGTTTCAGGTTCGAGTCTACCAGCTGCCAAGTTACCACTGAGCATGGCACCATCCCCTCACACTGCTCACTCAATATCCTCAATATCAGTGAATACACACATGCAAATAATTCTCTCACTCTGGTATTGGTTGGTCCAGGACAACTCCAGGCTCCACCTGTCAATCATCCTCTTCAAACGTTCCACCTACTTTAGCTTAGCTGTCAACAGATATTCCCGACTTGATGTATACAAGACTCACCAGCAGCTGTTCCTTCTCTGTGTGTTTCCCACCTGCTGTTCTGGTCGAATCCCTGTCTTCAATCAACCAGGAGTTCTGCCTCTGTATTCCAGGCTCCTCCTCCTCCTGCCAGGAGTTTATTCAGCCTCCACTACACCAAAGACTTTCCATTTTGGCTGATAATTTGCATCTTAATTTCTGCCACTAAAGTGTGAGCCAAGGTGGTCGCCCCTAATTCAAGATGCCTGACAAATACACAAAGGCAGCATAAACAGGTATGTAAATAAGGAGAGCGTACAGACACGCTGAGAGCTGCAGACCGCTGCGCTCTGTTGTCGACACCAAATTAAAAAAACAAACTCCCCAAGGACTGATCTTTCAGGGTCTAAATTTAAAGAATGTGCTCCCCTCCATTTTCTGATGGAGCGGAGCACATCTTATATGAAGATTATTTCTCTAACTGTTCAACTGAAGTAACTGTGGTCACAAAGAGGACGGCATTCAGACTTGAATCAAACTGAAAGTAAACTTGGTAAAAGTCTTTTAGGATTTGGTTGTGACTCTGATTTAAGTCAGAAGAAACGAAAGCTCAACAATTACTTCACTCTGTACCGACGCCCACTGGTGGCTGCTGCACTAGGTGGTGCTGATGAGCAGCCTTTGTGTAACTGTGTGTGACCTGATGTGACATCTTCTGGGACTTTCATCAGCTCGCCTTGTGCATCCTACAGTAATAAACAACTAAACTTTGAGTTTTTGCCTCTTTCTTGCTACAGTATGTGCACTGTACGTGGGAGGAAGTAAGAAAATACTAACGGCGGGAGAATCTGTGGAGCAGCTTCAGTGAGAAGCTCATTATTTTGAGGATTTGCCTGTGAGTTGTGAACACACCAGCTCCAATTTTGTCTGATGACTGAAACGGTTGAAATGGTTTAATAAAAATGAAACTTTTCAACACATCCCTTTAATTTACTGTCTTTACCTGGATACTTTTGAACTGCTGCGCCTGAGAGACGGATGTTTCTGCAGATGTTGAGTCATTAATAAAAGATCAATGATAAAAAACTGAAATGAAAACCTTTAACTCTGAGCGTCCTCAGACACGACAACATTTGTCCTTTCTTCAGCTTTAAGATTTGCACTTTTCCTTCTTACACTGCAGCAAAACTATTGGCAACATCTGAAGACGCCATGGCAACTAAACACTGCGGGATACAGAACGCCATCAAACATTTAAAACAAAACGTTAAATAAATATCTATGCTATAACAGAATTTAACAACATCAGTGGGTTTAGTAGTAGTAGTATTTAGTATTTTATTATATTCAACAAATAAAAAAAATTTAGGTTAGACCTTATTAGGGCCATTTAAACATAAATAAATAAACAATTCTAGAAGAGTTTATGTACAAAAGTAATCTTTCAAATACAGTGTGTATTTCACATACTTCATTGATTTTGGAGCAAAACAAACCCCTGCTGTAAACACTGTGGAATGTTCAAACATACAGGTTACTTTCTGTAAAAAGAGGCTAAAATAACTGTCTGTGTCTCTTTAAAAAAAGGCAACATCAAACTTTCCTAATTTGTAAAATATTCACAGTCCGTCTGACAAAGAAACCACGGCGTTCAGTTTAGTTCCATGTCGCACCGGCGCTCTTTTCATTCACCGTGATGTCAGTTACACCGTGAACCTGAGTGATCTGCCTGCAGTCCAGAGACGCCAGCAGTTTCCTTGGACCAGACAAGGTGGGGACGATGTGCTCAGTGAGAGACACAGAGGCATGGCTGCCGATGTCTCTGAGAGAAGGACGAGTAATGACAGTTGTAGTCGTAGAAGAACAACAAACAGTTACGTGTGACGTTAAGGAGATCTGTCTTTCTCACCCGTAGGTAATCTTTCGACCGTCGACGAGGCCGAGTCCTTCCAGGTGGAATATCACACCTTTCAGCAACACCGGTAGTGGGTTCGTGAAGGAGATGTTCACTGCCATCTTCTCGTGGACTACAGCCCTTCCTACTGGCTGTTAAGCAGTGATGAAATTAAAATCGTATTCTCAATAAATGTATTTAAAGACAAACACGTTTTTGTGCTCTTGTGCAGCACGGGTCATTGAGAGGCCAAGAACCTCATGGAGCAGCGACCCTGTACTATAACATGTAAGGAATAAAATGGTGTTTTAAATTCAGCTGACCTTTAAAATATACTTTATTATTTAGCATTTTTAAGTAAACTGTATACAAATGACACACATGAACATGTTCGAAGCATATGAAAAAATATATTAAAAGTTTATTGAAACCCTGTGGTACCCATAGGGTACTGAGTACCTTATGTTGAAAACCTTAGGAGAATGTAACATGTTTTAACCTAACAGCATTATTAAGGACTTTAAAAAATAAATAAACAAATACATACATTTTGGGTAGAACAAATAAAATTAATTTGTTACCAGACTGTGATGTGGCTTCCATTGTGCAGCGGTTAGCACCCCTGCCTTACACATCCGCCTCACATGCAGATGGTCCTGGGTTCAAGTATTTTCCTCTAATTTGGCTTGTATGGGCTGACTAAATGTACTGACCTTTAGGATGAGGTTGGGGGTCTTGAGTCGAAAACTAAACTGCGTGGCCAGGACCTGCTGTGTTTCTCTGACTCTGCCCGACAGTGTCAGCATCAGTGCGGCCTGATCGATGAGATTGTCCTTGTAGTCCTTGTATTCCAAGGCCCAGTCCAAAACCTTAACTGCGTACAGAGAAGATAGGGAGAAAATGTTGGGGCTCAGAATGATCTGTGTACCTTCATCAGTCCTCATCAGGAGAACACAGAGAAATGTCTGGGTTAATCATTTAAACCAGCGCCTTTGCTAAGACTTTTTATATAGTAAAAAATGACAATCTTTATTTTCTGTCTTATCTTCACACATGGAGTTAAAGGCAGGACAAAAATGTCAATTCACTACTTTTTGTCTTCTGAAGGATATAAAAAACCAAAAATGTTACCATGACAACTAATCAAATCTCTAAACGTACCCTCATTGGGTACCAGGTCAATGTCTGTCTTGTCTTTTCTGATGGTGGCCTTGTGGACACCAGTGTAGTACATGACCTCCGCCTGGCTGTGGAGGTTGATGGAGCGCGTCTCTGAGCTGCTGTTCCGTAGTGTGATGGTCAAGTCAGCGTCCATTCCCATGGTGGGTCCTTCACCATTCATGGTCACTTCTACAGAGACGTCCTCTGCCGTGGGAGATGAATAAGCCTCTGCCTTGGTGCCATAGCGACATGCTGTTTCCACAGCGATACGTTCCTCGTCTGTGCCTGAGAAGAACCAGACTTGTAATACCGGCGATTTAAAAGAAACAAATACCCAGTACTACTGTATGTACTGTACCTTCAGGGTGTTTGTACAAGTGAGTGATGTCACTGCGTTCCTCAGAACCAACAGCCTTGGTGCTGATCTTGTGGCCCACCTTCTTCTTCTCACTGTAGATCTGGCTGAAGGTTCCATCGATGTTCCTCTGCCAGTAGATTTTATCACTGTTTACCTGAGAACGCAGAAAGGGAGATGGGGAGCAAAGGAAGATTATTTTTATATAAAACTGTGAGTGCATACAGTTTATTGGACCAGTAGTACGATATAAATCACTCCAGTATGTGTTGAAGGGAGCAGAGTAATGTAGTGTTGCTCTGTGTATTCCACACACCTCTGCAAACACAAAGGGACAGTCGTGTTTCAGGTAGACCTGACCGTTGCGGACAGCGACAAGAGACGCCGGTCCACAGCAGAAAGTGCCCTGGCTGGTCTCCTGAGGCGTCGCATCCACAGCTTGCCAGCCTCCGTAGCCAGGAGGCAAATCTGCACGAGCCATCCAACAGTCCGTCCACACGTGGAAGTTCCTTCAGGACAAAGATCCACAGTGACATTTAATGACCGTTGGTGTTTCATCGCCACGATGACAGAGCAGACGCAGTGACACACACACCAGATGGAATCTGTATTGAGGTGATCTATCGGATCCAGGTTTTCGTCCAGGAACACGTCTGTGGTCAAGGACTTGTCTGTGTCGTGGGCTGAGCAGAAGTTGGTCACAGCCCGACTGGGGATACCAAGACACCGTAACACTGGGTGGAGTCAGAGTCAGAATCAGTGTGTGTCACATTCATGTGACTGAGGCTGCAGGAGGAGCCCACAGAACAAAACTGGTCTTTTAGCCCAAGTATTAAAAAAGAAAAGAAAAGAATAATTTAATAATCAAAAACTAAACCAGGAGACTAAATAATAAGGAGTGATTAAAACACTATTTAAAAAACATTTGGAATGACAAGTCAAGAAATATAAAAACCCAGTTCAAAGTTCCTCACCATATCTAACAGGTATTTAAGTGTATTTAACCAGACTTATTTATTTAATAGAATATTCCAGTATTTGCTCATTGCTCATTGTTAGGCCAGACCAGTTTTGCGGTGGGGAATTTGATAGAGAAGAGCTCACCTGTAGTGACGGTGCCTGCAAACACCCAGCACTGACCGTACTTCACAGGAGTACCGTTGTTTTTATGGTATTCCTTCAGGATCTCCACACTTCCACTCCAAACTGTCGGGCTCGTCCCACCTGAGTAGTTCCCCGACCAGTTTCCCTCCAGGACTCCACGGTCGTCGGGCGAGTTAATCTGGGTTGATACAGACGGCCTTTTTATACACAGACTTGAATCTGAAGTGTCACCTCTCCCTCCCCTCTGAGTGGGTACTCAGCAGCAGCTTTATTTCTTTAGAGAGCCCGCTCACTAAGATTATACCTTCCATTCTGACCGTCGCTGACAGGATCATGACCTGAATGAAGAGCTGGAAAAATGAGGAAATACTTGAGGAAGAACAGGAGAAATGTAGTCTGACGTTTCTCCTCTCTGAACCTGACCTTAGCTTGGCTAAAGGTGTTGCATTGAGAGGGACATTTAAAAAAAAAACCCCAAAAACACGACTGCCACACCGATTGGTTCGAGTTAACAACCAGCTCCAGTGTTGTGTTTGTTTTGGTCAAAGATCATTAGAAAGACAGAGGAGAAGATTATTATTATTATTATTATTATTATTTCCCTTTAGTGGACTTTAAAGGGTTTCACATGTTTACTGTGTTAGATATATTTTCTCATCTCAAATATATATATATATATATGTATATATATATATATATAACATTTTATATATGTATATATGTTGGCCTCCAGACTAAAACGTTTGAATGTACTCCTCCTTTCTTTACTCTGTATCAGGGCCATGGAAAACAGTTGGCTTCTTCCTCTCACCATCGCTGAGATTATTCGCACCACATTAACCGGGTCTCCCCAACCAGATGGAGGAGTTCCACTGTTGTGCAGGACAAAGAGTGAGGCAGGAAGGACTCCATTATCAAACTGAAAGAGAGAGAGAGAGAGAGAGAGAGAGAGAGATACACACAGTACTGATACAAAACTCCATTCTGAATCAACATCTGAGGTTAAACATGAATAATTAATGGCTCACACACCTGTCCATAATTCCAGGTCCTCGCCCCAATCTGGTTCTCCGTACCATAGTAGATCCTGCCAACGTCGTTCAGGACGTACTCGTGCCTTTCTTCTTCAGAGTCCAAGAACGCTGTGTCATCTGTCAGTTCAACACACACAGTACATCCACAGTGTTGATGAAGATGATTAGACGCCTGTTTAATGACAGCCATGATTGGTTGGGTAATATCCAGCTTTTTAGTACAAGACTCTGAGCACAATACCACCACTACTGTACTGTGGCTACAACTACATATAACATGTAACAAATGCAAATATTTTGATGAGGATCTAGATAGTGAATTCTATGCATGTTTTTTCCTGTTTTCTGTTCTTATGACGACCCTGGATGTTCCAGCTGTGAGTAACGTTTGGATTGAATTGGAAAGTTAAATTCTAATATGGTCATTAAAAGTAAGAAATGCTGCAAAAATACAAAATTGTAAAACTGTATAAAAATCCGTCTTAAAATAGTCAATAATAATAATACTTTTTTTGAAGCCACATTACATTCACTCCATGGGTTGAACAACATGAAGATGTCATTTGCAGGGTTGTGCACAGAAATGTACTGGCCGTTTGCGCAGGTTGTTTCCACTGTCAGCTGGTACTGGCCGATGCATGCTGTAGGTGGAGAGTTCACAGACAGCTTCAGCCTCTTCTCATCCTGCCTCTCTATCACAGCCTCCCAGCGGCCATCTTCCAGTTCGTCCACTAGGGGGATGATGACATGCGTTCCCTTTGACACTGTTGGCAGTTTCCCTGTAGAGGTGATGAGAGAACCCACATCACAGGTGTGATTCAAATGTTGTCTTATTTGAACTCCTCCTCCTTGATTGGCTGCTGCTCTACCTTTGTGATTATCTCTGTGAAACTTTACACAAACTTTAGTAGTGTAGATAAACACTGGTCATCAATATAATGACTTGTGCAGCATGATCCAAGTCGATAACTCTGCAAGCAACGTTCAAGATCCCAGTGAGCCCTCACAGTAAACGCCTGCCTTCCTGGAGAAGAAGTAAATATTATTTGAAACACTGATTTACAGGAACATGAGCTTCACAACTCTAACAGACGTCAGGAATGCAGCCTGAACAAATAAAGGCTGCTAAGATAAAATTCTACAAACATGGAGCTGATCAGAAAACAAAAAGAAAAAGGAAAGAGAGCACTTTATAAAAAGTAAACCTGGGATCACAATTAGTTTCCTCTGTAGCTTTATTTAAACCTCTGAAGACAAAAATCAAGTCGCTTTAAATATTTAGCATAGCTTACTCTTTTGTAGAAACTGTACCAAATTAAAATCTGAATTATGTGGCATACATACATGTACACCCAATATAAAGAGTGAAAATGGATAAACAACGGGCCGTGTTTATCTATATTCATTTTTGTTGTTGCTGTTTTTGACTAGTCTGTATTTAAGTAGCGTGTGTATCCATGTGGTTGAAATGGATGTACTTTGGTGTTATTACATTGAACTGAAGAAAGCTTTCTCTTCAATTCACACCCACCTCTGTCTGATCTGTCAGGCTTTTACTGCGCTGAGGTCGAAGCGACTGATTGCTGCACTGATACACAAAAGTAGAGAGGCTGGTGTTTAAATGTCATTAGAAATATATGAATAGCAACAGTCACAGTGCTGGGTTGGTGACTCCGAGACACAGTAAAAACATCTAACAACAACTTACAATGTTTGGTGTAGTTAAAGCACAGCCATTTTACAACGGTACAACTGAAGACTATGTGAAGGACAGAAACATGTTGTCGGTTGGCATGTTGTGTTTGACAATGCACAGTCTTGATGTTAAACATTTTGTGACAGGACATTGTGTCCTAGATAGACTGTTTCAGTTAAAGTGGCGGCGGACGACCTCAGCTCTGGTTGTTTTTGTTCCCTCTGCCCTCAGTGGGTGTGACCTTGTCTACGTTTGTCGTGTTTACAAATGACAAATGACACTTTCACCGAGTCACAAAGCTGCAATTTCACCACAAGATGTTCACTTTGACAGACCGAGGACTGATTGAATGTGACAACTAGAGCCAAACCCTGCGCACTATTGAAATGAACAAAACAGCCAATTGGCCAGAATCAAATAAGATTCTGATTCACAAAGAAAAGAAGAAGAAGAAACAAAAAAAACAATCAGTAGAAAGATGGGACACCATGTGAGCATCTGTGTTTGGTGTCTGCAGGGTCAGGATTAAAGCTCACACACACTTAATATCCATTACCCACCGCATTTACTTGGCTAGCTCGAGTGTCTAAAGTGTCATCTGACTGTGGTTAACAGGCATCTGGTTCAGCCCAGAAATTGTTTAAAAATTAATCTTATTGAATTTTATAATTGTTGTGATTTCAAGTATTTTTTTTAATTCTTTTAAAAACATTTGTTAAAATAAAACAAATAAAACGAAAAAAAATGTCAAGGTCTTTTTTCTTAAAATGTAACCTTACCTGACAACGGGTCTTTCCTAAATTATTAAAACTCATTCATTCAAAACTCCAACACACAGTACAGTTGAGACAAATGTCCTGACTTGAGATTCCAAACTAACATTCCATTATTCTGTGATTATTATGCTGTGGGGCCAGTCTAGCTCAACATACACTTTGGCAAATGTGGCATCAACTCAACTAAAAGCTGGAACTTCAAACGAAATAAATCAGACATTTACAGCACTGCCTTCGTGCTCCATATTTAGTTGAATGTATGGACAGATGGTGGAGGAGTCCACATGATCACTGATCATTCTGGTGCTACAGAACAGTCACCAAATAAACCCAAAAGTACTGGCATTATTTCCATAATCCATGAATGTTTTCAGAGACTGAACTGAACCAGTGGAGAGCGGGAGGGTGAGGGGGGCGGTGGGGGAGTGGGGGAGGTGGCAGCACCTATGGTAAAACTGTTCATTAATGCAATTCTTAGTGAAAGCAGGACAGAGGACTCAGGAATTTGTTTAACACTATCTACACAGCATAGCAACCAGGACTGTTGCCATAGCGATGGTAACCAAAGTCCCCCTCCCTCTACCCCTCCCCTCCCCTCTCCTCCAGTCTTTACATCAATGAAGGTCTCACATGAATGTGAGGAGGGGAATCCACCCACACAAACAGCTAGGTGAACATCAAACAGTTAAACTGAACACAATCAAAACTTTGGAGTTGTACGAAATGAGGTTCAAAAATTCAAATATGAACCGTTTTTGTTATTGATAAAAAACTGTAACTATCAAAAATGGCTAGAAGAATGTCCACTTTCTTTATAAAGTCAATCTGCTGGTGCTTTTTTACCTTTCTAACCCTCTGCCTTTTATCGTTCATGACATCAGAGGACATTGTCTGGGCTCTTCCTATTTACCACTCGTCAGGATTGCTCCACCTCCTGTTATCTATTCCAATATGTCTCCAATCTGTCCTCAGCAAATGACGGCAGGTCTCGTTTTCTGTTTTTCCCTCTTGCTGCCAAACGCTTCAGTGCTAATCCACACCCGCCCACTCACACAGAGGCACTACTTCTTGTAACTTCATCTTGTCACCTGTCTGACCCGCTTACACAAAAACCATGATCCACGGAGACTCGTGAGGGAGATCATCCGTCACCGTGACCATCGAAACCGAAATCAAAGTGTTCAGAGCAAACCCCTGATGCAACACTGAACCCATCTGTCACTTTGACAGCACACTTTTTGACTATTGTCTCGCTGTCTTCATAGCCTACTGTACATGCCTTTCTCATGCAGTGACATACCTCAGACTCCAGAGAGCGACCTGTGACTAACCTGTTTTAAGTTCAAGGTGAAGTTTGTCAGTTTTGTGGTCGTAGGGTCTGGACAGGGTGATCCACATCTGGAAAGTCTGCCCTCTGCGGACGATCAGGTTTTCACTCTGGTAGAGGTTCGTGTGATGCTCGATGCGATTCTCTCCTGACGTCTTTTTCATCAGGTCTATTGAGAGCACCCTGAGAAGGAGTTCTGTGAAACAAGGAAGAGAGAGGGGGAGTCTAATCTGTCCATGGGCCTAGTGTTTATTTTGATGGTAGACTTTTCAAGATCCCAGTTACCATCCAGCTCGTTGTTGTCGGTTACAGGTGTCACATTATCAATCCCATCCTCCTTGCTGGGCTCCTCCGGCCCTGGGACCAAGGGTTCTGTCTTGTCGTCTTCAGGTTTGGGGCGGCAGCAGGGGCAGACCTTTCGTAACCACAGCTTACATGGATTTTCTTCTTGAACGTTGTTTCCTTCTGGTTGTTCATTTTCCTCGTCGGTATCTTCTCCAAATCCAAGAGTGACAGTCGGAAACCGACCCACTGCCGAGCGGTCCCTCAGGGACCGTGTTTCCACAGGCATCCTGACAGACGACACATCAACTCAGGAAAAGAAAAAATGAACAGCTCAGATAAACTTTGTGATGCTGATCATTGAACTTTTGATTTAGGTATTTTTAAACATTTATTTAATGTTTACATGATATGTCTATTATATTTATCCATGTTACCAATAGAACAAACATTTCCTATAATAACTTGGCTTATATTACATTACTGAACAAGGCATAAGCATTAAAAATCAGACCAGTAATGGTTTGTTTTTCTCACTTCATCATACATCAGAGCACTGCCTTTTAAGATCAGGCAATCACGGTGTTGTTTTAACATATTGATCGCTACTTATAAACTTCAACAACAATCATCAAAATCAACAACATTTTTATGGTAAGGTTGAAGAAATCCTAAAATAAATACTGAACGATAGTTTGTCCAGTAAAACCATGTTCCTTCGAGGTCCAGGAGACACAGGATCACAGCTGTTCTGACAGTGAACACACACATTTCTATAGGATTTTTAATGATTGTAAAACTGGACCAAGATGCAGTGGAATTCTGGTCATTATTTGTGGGATCTGCAGGGATGACCCTGACGGCCGGTACGACACGTCACTGCACACTCTTGAGGTGCGTTAACAGTGTCTTATCCACATTATTCATAGAGTATTACTTGACTGGTGCATCACAAACGAGTCTTCCGGGGTCGTCCACTATTTTTGCCGCACACAGAATCAAACTTTGAATCGGTCATCCTGGCTGTGCAGGACGCTGACAGGAAGCAGGAAGGATGCTCAGACTCTCAGACCTCATTTGGAGCTGATTCACTGATACTGAATTACACTGATTTATGCATCACTCGGAGCATGCAGGATGTGAATGTGCTCTGATTTGCATATGTGCCACAAAACACAGTTTTTTTCTTTTTGCTAACAGCCCAGATTTTCATACTGACACATCACCTCTTGACCTCAGAGATTGAATCTGCCCAGGTGACTCCCCCCTTCCTCCCCACCTCCCTAGAAAAAGTGGTATGAGTAAGAGTTAGAACTATAGACAAGTGTTATGTTTGAGTTACTGTACGGGTTGAAGTTTCTTTATTATTATTTGGTAATCATTTTTTGTGACCTTTGCTCATCATTTTGGTTTCTACTCTGCTGTAGGAATGCTCCCAGTCCAATGACTGCCCTTCCCACATTCCTCAACGTTACTGGTTCATAGCAACCAAACAGGCTTAGGTTAAATGAGGAAACGTTGTTACACTCCCTGACGCAGCGTGTCATGTGTGCGATCACGTCTGCGCTCAGATCTAAACTCTCTCTGCTGTGACCTGTGTGTTCACACTAATCCATTCACGGGACCGAGTGAAAACTCTCACACTCTGGTATGAGGGCGTGTCAACTCCAAGCCCAGGGTTGGTGTTCATGCCAACGACCGACTGGTTTATTTGGATAGAGCTTAAAACCCAAAGCATGACCTGACAAATGCTGCTGCTGCATTAGGTAAGACAGATGCTTACACACAAAGTAACAGTGAGAGTACGCAGTACCACAGTACAACAGTACAACAGTACCACAGTACAACAGTACCACAGAGAGGCGGACCAGTTAATAATATACAAATGGACTTCACCGTCACCTCCGGTTAACAAGCCACATCACACTGGTGAAAACATATGCACGAAAAAGCAGCTCAGTGCATCAATGTACTAACAGCATTGAGGATGCACTGCAGGTTGATGACATTTGCCAGGTGTAGTGTTTCACCATGTTCATCATCTGCATAGAGATGAACTGATCCCCCTTTAATCCTGGTCCAACTCTGCTCTGACACCTGGAGCTCTCCTCTAAATGGATTTCTGTTGTTATTGTAGAGAAAACAGCATTAGGCTAAAATGGAACAGTTTTCTGGTATCTGTAAGATGATGATAAACTGTGTCTGGCCCCGCACCAAGTCGCACACAAGTTTTCATTTGGCTGCCGTCATTTGCCTGTTGGATTTTAAAAATAAAAAAAACAAACAAATGTTTACAGAGTCCAGAATTAATTAACTGAGGGACATGCAGAGCAGATCTGCAAAGAAAATGATGATGATGTGTTGTCAAAATAACATTATCATGATATGGATACAAATAGAACCTCCCTCTACAAAACAAACACATGGACCTGTGGTTACTTTGTGAATAAGAAAGTGAAAATTCAAATTCAAAAGACAAATGGACGGATGGACAAACAGATGAACGGACGGACGGATGGACAAACAGATGGACAAACAGATGGATGGATGGACAAACAGATGGATGGATGGATGGATGAATAGATAGATAGATGGATGGATGGATGGATCGACGGACGGACGGACAGACAGACAGATAGATAGATAGAAACTTTTTTTACTCTCAAAAAAACTCGGGACCAGCTCCATGTGTTTACTGTTCTTTTTAACCTGAGACATCAGCTGACAGGAACCTGATTTCAGATCTTCAGACAAAGCAGCAGGTTGTAACCTGCCAACAAAGACGTCTTCCAGAGTTCTACAAAAACAATATTCTCAGGAGGAAACCCTGCATGCAGCAGTGTTTGGAGTTAAAAGAAGCGTGTCTACATTCGTGAACATTCGGCTCTACACTTGTAAATGTGGTTTCTGTTCAGATGTTTCTATATTTGGGGTTTTTTTTAAGGTATAAAAAGACTTTAGATTCTACAAAGATGAAAATGTTTCTCAAGACTTTCATCTTTGGCAAAAGTACAAAAGCCAAGATTTAAAATATATAGTTATATGGCAGCTAAATTGCAAAGACTTGCTGTGTGGAGCACAAAACCAAAGGTAATACATCATTTGAAATTGTAAAAAAAAATGGCTAAAAAGTTTAAAATATGTTTTCCAAATTAATTTTTGTTGCAGTTTCAGAAAGTGTACAAGCTTTGATTTCAGTGGATAAAACATTATTATTATTCTTATTATCTGTGCTTGATCCATTCATTAATCTATGCTTAACCCAGACTCGATTACTGCAGGACTGTTAATTAAAAAAAAAGTCCTCACGCTCTGATGAACATCCACTACTTTACTGTCTGGCTTCAAAATCAATATCACATTCAATTATACAATCTCACAAAGCACTCAACGGTCAGAACCCAAGCTACAGTCCCTCACTGACCTCCATCACATGGCCTCACGGAACACTTTAGTTTTATATGTTCAGACCACTATCTATTTGATGTTTTATTTCACCTCCTATTTCTGTCTTATTGGTGTTTCCATTAAAAAATAAAATATTACATTATTAGACTCACCAAACTGTCTGGTTTCTGGTTGCTTTCACCTTGAGTCATTGAGTCATCAATATTCAGTCATTTATAAAAAAAAATTAAAAATATATTGAATAGTTTATTGAAAATGTATATTATATGTTTATATCTAATAACATTTTTATATCTAAAAAAGACTTGATGTTCAGGGGAACTAAACACAGAACTGAACACGTCTTAAATGAGAAACACCTGTTTGACCTACATTTCACCTTTGTTTGTCTCGCATTGGTTCACATTGGTGTCAGTGGACTATGGGTGGGTCCACGAGGAATAAGTCCCCAGTCTATCACAGACAGAGACGAGCTGGATCATTTTTCTTTATGGTCAATTTAGAGTCAAAATTTTGAAACCCAGAGTTTGCGATTGGAGAAGTAACCTCGAAGACATAGACTTATTTTACTGCAAGGCAAGTGCAATGTACACTACTGCAGTGGCGCCCCCATTTGGTGATTGGAAAAAAACAGGAGTAAAAGCTGGAGTGAAAGTCACTGAACCCAAAAAGTCACCGTTCAGTTTTAAAACAAAACGTAAACAAGTTTTAGTAAAAAAAAAAACAAACAAACAAAAAAAACCTTCAAAATCTGTGGGAGACTTCTTCAAGCATCGATTCCAGGACCAAACACTCCAACTACTACTACATTTTTCTAATAAATCATATGTTGTGACCTGATGAATCATTAAAGCTGTAAAACACATCAAACTGAATAAATCTTATACTTAATCCATGCTAATATATCACACAGGGTCATATACATCAGTGTTTCCCAAACTTTTTTTCCTGGGGACCCATCTTTTAAAAGCCTTTGTGACCCAAGTCACCCAAGTCACCCCAAGTCACCCCATCCTGAGAAACATGATGCAAGACGACACCCCCCCCCCCCCCCCCCAAAAAAAAAAAAAAAAAAACTCTTGTGACCCAGTCTTTGGGAAACAATGATATACATTATACCACTGTACAGTCCTGCTGCACCCCATTGCAGTTGCAAACGGTATTGCACCAGTGTCATAGCTCAGAGCAGGAACCAAACCAAACATGAGTTGGGGTTTTTTTTCTTACTTTTTTAAACAAGTTTGTAGGACATTTGATGGTACATTCCCCGTGAGCCTTTGCTAAGAGCCTGGATACTTAACCTGAGGGTGGAGCTTCGCCAAGTCTCTGTGCATCTTCACAACGCAAAAACTCAAGACTGCAAGGAATGTAGCTGCATATGTTAATGATTATGTAATTACAGGAAGTCTTAGACCCTGAAAAACCACTCTCCCACGCTGATCACCAAACCAAGCTTTTCTACTTCTGCTTCCAACAATCTGCCATCTGCATTTTTAAAAATATGAAACTGCACCGTGTCCAACAGCAAAACACTAAAATCAATCCTTAATCATTTTGGACAGCCGCGAGCCGGAGACAGATGACGCGGATGATGAGATGCATGACAGCTGAACCTGCCTCGGAGATAAGACTCATCACTTCATCACCTGTTGTGCTGCATTCCAACTACTGAAAGCAGACGTCCTACTGGCTGCCACTCCACCATGGCACATGTCTAAATGATGCCTGATAAGGTGGGTCAGAGTTCACTGACGGCACATACACTCATGCACTATTCATCGGAGCTGAATATTCTTCTCCAGGGGATGTTCCAGTAAACAACTCATGACTGTCACTGTTTTCTCCTGCAGTCACTCATGACAGAGAGAACAACAGGGAGCAGTTCGTGATTAGCCCAAAATGAAGTCATGTTTGGGTTTAAAAATAAACAACAATAAAAATCACAACATAATGAAAGTATATGCCCTCAGGTATGGTATAGTACAGATGTATTCATTGTCTGGAAACCCATAACAAGACCGTCATGCAGCGGCTGGCAGGTCTGACAGAGGTACAGAACATCAAGTTCCATTCATTTATTTGGAGCCCAGTGAAATAACCAAACAGGAAGTGTTCTGTTAAGGTTGGTGAACAAATGTAGATTAATTTGTGCCTAAATGAATATGTTCAATTAAAGTCAGGACTCTCTAGCTAAAGATAGAGGAGAAGGACGTGTGAAGCAGGTTAAATTAAAAACTCACTCAGTCAATTGTCAGCGCACACGGAAGGAATAAATCTTCTGTTCCCTGCTGCATGTTTGGGCTGCCTTTAAATACTTTGGAGCTAAGACAGAGAAGACACGCCTCAACAGCACAGACTGGAGACAGGTCATTACTGTATGTCTTCTCAAAACAGTGAATAAAATCATTTTAGAACAGTACAAAAAAAATACCCTACAGGTATTACTACTTGAGGGCATTTTGAATTAATACTTAATAATTTATATGTAGTACAATATTACCTCTTATTATAAACAAACTGCATTTGAGATATGTACTGGCCAGGCCTAGTTTGACTGTAGCTATGTCAGTATGTGGGGAGTCCACGCCTTTTATCCACAGGAAGTTGTGTCCATATAAGGAGTTATGTGACATAGGAGGTTCATAATGTAGACTTTGTAGCACAGCGGTCTTTGGTTGATGATGAGACAAGTCACACAAAAAAAACAGTGCAGGACTGGGAGTCACGCAGGTGAAGGAGTAAAGCTGCAGGAAGCAGAGGAAGCAAAGTGGGATGTGTTCGAGTCCCTGAGGTCAACAGAAACAAAGGTGGAACCGTCACTGTCTGAAGGTTGGGGGGATAGAAGATGGAGGAGGCAGAGCTGAAGATACTGAAGTGTCTTTAAAATACAGTTGGTTTTGAAGAGGTTCTAGATGAAGTCAGAGAAGAAGAGTCGAGGTTTTTGGACAAATGAGAAGAGACGGTGGATAACAATGAGACAAAGGACATTGATGATGCAGTTGACAGCATCAAAGTTCACTGACTGACAGCACAGACGACGTCTGTGTTGCTCTGAGGCCAGTCTTCTTCAGCCATTGGTTGGACTTGACAGACATTTTTTTGTTTTTAATCTCTCTGTGGCACATAATGTGAAAGCACTCGTCAGGTCATGACAACACAGTTCCTCAGCACTCCAGTGTCCACATGTGGCATTGAGTTGTAATACACTTTCTATAGTATATATCCCTGGCTGTTCACAGGTCGTACACTTGTGCAACTCTCACCAGCAGCTGACATGAAGAACCCTTCGTAGCCGAGCCTTTATATCTGTTCATCATAACTGTATTGTTTGACTTAATTTTTGAGCAGAAGCAGATCATAGCCAGGTATCTGAGGTCCTTCCCTTTCGCGAGTCACTGCTGGTGTGTCCCATCTGTCAGCAGATGGATCATGTCATGGCACCTTATATGTACAAGTCTTCAGTATTCCACTGTCCCTGGGCGGCCCCCACATTAATTACACCAGCTGACATATACTATTTCAATATCCTCTAGCCTGGACCAAAAACATGTTGTCCCAGCAGTGCCTGTTTCATCATGTTCCCAAACACCAGTCTCAAGCCTGGCCAATGCTATCATAATCTGTTAGCAACAGAAAATACCATATTGCCATTAGCCAGCAGACCTGCAGCAGAGCGGGTCAAACGTCTGTTTCAGTCACGTTGTCACACAGAGACAAACCACAAAAATTAACTTCCCGATCCACGCGGAGGATATGTGACTATAAAAACTTGTTACTGTTAAGAATTTGAAAACTAGACTACTTAAAATAGCATGCGTTAAATAACCTTAGCTTTCAGATGTGAAAGTAAACTCTTGATATTTTTTAACGCATAAATTGCTATTAATATGTTGCCAATATTTTGGCAACATATTAATAGAAATATATGCGGAAATATATATTTGGGCAGCAGTTAAGGGCTTGTACAAAAATAGAAACAGAAAACCACTCAAGCTGAATGTGTATTTTAATTTAATTAGTGGCATGTCATGGAACAATATGTTGTCCTATAATAAATGTTTAAGAGAACAATTAAAAAAACATGTTGACAATGACTGTGCTGTGATCAGCTAAGGATTATCTTTCCACATAATTGAACCATTTTATCATTACTGGAGGATGAACCAGCACTGCTGCAGGATGGTCCATATACAGTGTTTACTTGAGGGTTGCTGCATGCATCTGCATGTGGTGCTCTGTTATTTCTCCATGTCCAGACACACACAAACACACTAGCATACAAATGCTGAATGAAAATGTTACAGGCTTTTGACACGGAGCTTTGAATGTGAAGGCTTTCGGACCCTGGGGTCGCTGTGATTGACATTCTCCCAAACAGGTGCAACAAAGAGCGTCACGAGACACTTCGGTACACACAATCTCTCGCTCACACAAACACACACGACCACAATGTGACGGACAACGGGAGCATGATGCCTGCCATTTCTACTTCTCGTCTCATTAGAGCAAAAGGTCGGTGACAGAGGACAACAACTCGGCCAACTCTGACCCAATGTTGGTGATCTGAGTGATGGGGTTGCCACGGAGATCGAGGCGCTTCAGCCTGGGGCAGGACGCCAGGGGCTGAAGAGCTGCCAGTGTTGAGATATCTGAGCATTTGGGTTAAAGAAAAAACCACTTCCTGTGTGCTGGGCTGTGAACCGTTGAGGGGATTAACTGGAAAGAAATGTGACTCACTAATTACAAACGCGAGCGTCAAAGTGATATCCTAATAGCAAATGTTATTCTGTCACTTCTTCTGAAAATGAATAATGGAGAAGGCTAAATTTAAACTCGACTGTGATGCACTGAAACTTTCATTCAACTGTCATTAGAAGAGAAGAAAAAGGTTACACAAAACCTGGGTGTCAAGAACGATGGATGCCATTAATTCATCTCACGTGTCAGAACGACTGAAGGAGTCTGCATCAATAATGTGCTGTTAAACGGCTCCGCTCCTCTAATTAGTCTGTGAGACACCAGTGATGACTTTGGTGTCTCCATCTGTACGAGAAGTTTCAGACGGCAGATTACTGATGCATTGAGCTTATTATCACTGCAGTTTTCTACACTCTGTGTAGACACAGTGACCGTCTGCACTGTTGTTGTTACAACAGGGATTTCTAACTGCAACAGTTTCACTCGCCAATCGACTCGGAATGTTTTCTCATATTTTGTCAGACGCACTCAGAGCTGGTGCTTCTTGAGTCACCATACAGTGAAGGAAGTGTACAGACATACACAGACACAGGCAGGTCAATGACCTCTCCGAAATCCCTACGACCTTCAACCACTTTAAATCCAGTCACAATGATATTGTTGCGTTAAGCTGCTGTATTCTGCCGATGGCGCTAAAATACTGTTATTTTTTATTTATTTTGGTTACTTTTAACCTGCTTGTGGTAGAAATACAGTATGTAATTACAATTTTCATTTTTTAATTATTTTCCAACTTCCTATTATGTTACAAAATCTAATCCCATTTCATCTACACTTTGACTGTTTCTTTGTTTTTGCCAGGTTGGTTACATTGTACAAATATGATTGCTGGTATTTTTTTAAAATAATGTTAAGCAGGTTAATGTTAAACAAACAAGACAATAATCCAATTATTAATCTCATTACTTTTTTGTAATGAAATACAACGATTTTCAAGTTTCAATCCAACACAATTTTCATAATTAATTTCTTACTATATTTTCTTACTCATTTCCAGTATTAAAACCTAATCTACACGGAGGGAATTGAACAAAGACACACAAGATGATCTTCAACAGCCTTGACTTTTTTAATTTCTATAGCCATCTGCTGCCACCTAGTGGAAGAGTATTTCATCGTTCTGTCACTGTAATATTTATTCAATGAACCAGTGTGCTGTTTGATGCTGTTGACGATGACCAATCGTTTCTTCTTCAATGTACAGTCAGTGGCAAAACATGAGTCAACTGAGACGGATCATGTTTATAAAACAGTTATGGTCAGTTATGATCCTGAGCATAGTTTAACAGCAGCCTTGCACTATTTCCAAAATGAAACCAAGTTCAACAGAAAACCAAGTCCACATTTTTAGCTAAGTGAGTCCAAATCTATCTACATGTAGCTGCAAATTTTATCAGTGACTCAAGGCAACGGTCCAACCACTTGTCATAGTATACAGTACATCACAAGGGAGCATCATAGTTTGATGTGTGTGTGAATGTGTGTGTATCTTTGTAAAAATACCTTCTTCTTCGCCTTCTTACCTCATGAGGCAGGTGACAGAAATAGACAGGAAACAGCAGACAGCAGGGAAGGGCGGGCGGGGGGGTGGAGGGGGGTTCCTGCTGTGATGCCATGCTAACACTGCAGCTTTAAAAAGAAAAGTCTAGAAGTAATACTGAAAATACTGCAATACCAAATAGTTTCAAATATTACACTTGAGGATACTGTTATTCTTCAAGAGGACTTCCTCCAGTTTGGGGAGGTTGTGCAGACCCTCCAGATTTTCTATGGAGTTATTATCAGCTTCCAGAACCTGTAACAGAGAAACCAAACTGCTGTCATTATGTCACTGTAGAAGGACAAATAATCAGAAGCTGGAAATAAAAATGTTTACCTCCAGGCACTGCAACATGGCAAACTGTGGAGGCAGTCGCTGCAGTTTATTGGAGGACAGATTGATGTGAGTGACCAACAACAGCTGGTCCAGGTGACATAATGTTGTAAGGCTCTAGAAAGTAAGAGAAAGAAGAAAAACTCATATGAGTGAATACACAGAGGATGGGGTTTTTCTTAGACTTGAAAACATAACATAACTTGCAGTAAATGTTTACCTTCTCAGAAATACTAAAGACACGCACTTCAGCGTACTCCATTTTCAGGATGGTGTTTTCAATCATAAACTTGCTGCACAAGTCGCTGTAATACGCAGAGCGCATTGAATCCACTTCCTGGGGGACACAGTACGAGAATTCAGGCCATGATTTTTTTTTTCGTGTTAGTGTACAAAACTTTGAATGGAGTAGGTTCTTACTTTCAATGTTTGGAAATGACCGAGAGTTTCTTTTTCATATCCCAGTGGATCTAGCGCCCTCATAAGGAGGATAATAGTCAACAAGCACCCTGTCAAGGCAATAAAAAGTAAATCAACAATCTTATTATCGATAATAAACTGAATCATTTTGCAATTATCAGTGCAGTTGTTGTTCTCCCTCTGTAGAACCACGTGAGTACAACGTGAGCTCACACTTATTGAGCGGCTCCATCTCCAGCAGCTGATTGCATGAGTGTAGCTCTGACTGTAACACCGAGGTTTTCTCCACTGACAGTTCACTCCTGGGAACAACAACACGGCCGAGTATTAAAACTAAACAAAAAGTAATAATACAAAGATATATTTTGACGTGCAGTCATTACCTAAAAAGTTCCTGATCTGTTGCAGATTCTCGACAATAACTCTCGGTTCGACCTGAAAGGAAAATGTATTAATACAACAGAGACTGTAAATGAAAAATGATGAACCAATAATGTTGTTCTCACCTGTGTAAAGAGCACAGTCTCTGTGAGTGTGCTTTTCAGTCCAGTGCACAGTCAGATTGTGTTCATTACTGGTGTCACTGATTGTTCCAGGAGGAAGAACACAAATCTGATTATCTCTGTTATGGATTAAAACTGAATGACGTCAATTCTCAGAACCAGGATCAGAAACAGCTTCACCTCTAATAATTCAGGAATAATGTTCTCAGTACTTCATATACCTTAAATAAAAAGACAAATAATAAATCAAAATCTTCCTCAAGATCTACATGTGGAAAGAGCAGAGGAAGGATACCCAGACTGGACAGTGTTTGAAGCGTGGATGGACACTCCTCCACTCCACCTTCTGTGGCTGACCGTCCAGAACCAGCAGCAGACCAACAGTCAAGGCCTGTGAGAAAAACAGCTTGGTTAAAAACTTATTTAGTAGAACTTGTAAACTTTATATGTAGTGTTCTAGTACCATCTAGTGGTACGTTGGAATGAGCTCAAATAGTAATACGACAGATAGATTAAATTGAATCAATACATCAATACTTGTTTCATAAATACTGCGTTACAGCAGCAACATACATTTACACACAGTACTTCAAACCATGAATATTTCAAAACTCGGTTAAGTCCTAACGCACACTCACATTTACAGGCCTGGAAAAGGCCACAGCTACTCTCTCGTCGTCCCGGTCCACGTACACACAGCTTATCATCTCCTCACGATCAGCTAATAAAAGAAGGAAAAACCAACATTGAGCGTGTCACAAATACTCGCAAGTACCAGGAATTCCGCAGCATACCTTGAACCTGAAGACAAAAAAAACGCCAAGCTTACCTCGACCTAGTAACCATCTGTAGTAGAACCAAGCACTCTGGTCATTGGGGTCAGTGAAGAAAGCATTTTGTACAAGTTCATATTCTGACAGGGAGAGAAAGGATGTATTTAGTTGGGTGTAGTGTACGTGTTGGATTATACTTATACAGTACAGCACATATACAGAGTATCAAAAATACTTGTTACAAAGACAAAGTGTGTTCCTTTACCTTTGAGCAGCTGCTCTTCACAGACACGGTGGGAGTGAGTTTGAGAGGACGCTGGACCACAGTTCTGCTCCGGAGACTCCGGGTGGAGAAGCGGCAGCAGGGTGCTGCGGTAGTGCCAGCTGGAGTAGTTGGAAAAGTTGGAGCCAATGAGACGATAGGTGAAGTCCAACTCCTGCTCCACTGATACACCAGACATTTTCACTACCATCCGCCGATAATCCCAACAATGGACTGCAGAAACAGGGAAAAGGAGGAGGAAAGATGGATTAACACAGAGTGTTCACTGTTTAATGACATTGATGCCACTCATTATCATATGCACTTAATTAAAAGCAATGTTAATACAGCATTATCACTGGTATTTGTCCTTCAGCAGAAGTCGTTAAATCTCTTCTTTCTCAAGGTTAAATTCCTTTAGGCGATGTCTCGCTTCCCCAAATGCTATGTGCCCTAAAATAGTTTTGGGGGAAAATGGCTGTATATCAAAGCGAAAGTCATTAGATGGCAGCATTGCAGCTCATTTAACTAATTTCAGGGTCACTGTTGTTTGTACGGCTAAATAAATAAATATTACTAGACAGGTATGGTTGATATCGGAATATTGGATATCGGTAAAAAGTTAATACTGGAAATCCCTACTTTCTATGAATTCCATATCTTTGTTTTTTTTTTTTTTATTCAGGGTCACTGTTGTTTGTACGGCTAAATAAATAAATATTACTAGACAGGTATGGTTGATATCGGAATATTGGATATCGGTAAAAAGTTAATACTGGAAATCCCTACTTTCTATGAATTCCATATCTTTGTTTTTTTTTTTTTTAGTTGTTGTTTTTCACCGTTTGCCTCATTACTTACAGTTGCGCTCGTCCATAGTCAGACAGAGATCACAAAGCTTCAGCTCTCTTGCCCAATCAGGTTGAGGCAGCCGCACTGACACCCAGCCTCGGTGATGCCAGCAGCCGTAGGACTTTGGGTTTGCCTTCAGGCAAGTTTCCAAGAATGACAGCTCTGCTTCATAAAGCTTCTGCAACTCATCCTTGTCCCTGGAGGAGATTTTAGATTTCTTTTTTAAAAAAACATAGATATTCTGTGGACAATCTGATTTGCCTTTTAAATTATGGTGAGATGCATATTGTTATTTTGTATTTGTAAAAGCCTTTACTTCACAGTTTCCTGGTGCATCAACAGTTCTCTTCTGTAGTTCCACAGCGTTGCAAAATCTGGATTGGATGACAGCATCTGCTGAGTGAGCTGGAGGGCTTCTTCATCCAGAACGCCCTCCTTTCTCTGTCATTTAAGAGAGAGAGAGAGAGAGGGGTGAGAGGACAGAGCAGATCATGAACATTTACTAGATAGTTCAAACAGTTCCTTATGGAGGACATTAATATTTGATATGTATGAGGCAGGAAGACAAAGGTAGGAAAACATTAAATATGTCCACAGATACAGGTGTGATTCTCCAACAGACCTTAGAGAAACAGGCATCCCGTGCAGCCACATACAGCTTCAGCTTCTTTTCTCTTTCCTTCCTTTTCTCCTCCTCTTGCTGGGCTGTAGTTTTGACCTTTACTCTGCCATGCTTTTAAAAGGAAAAATGTTTTTATGATGATGGAATAAAAAACTTCATACAATATTAAATACCTTTTCACGTTTCATTAATATTTGACAAAATACATTTCACAGTTTGCTCAGCAAAATACTGAATAGAAATTCAAATGGGTTTTAAATGGTATTTTAGTTTAAATGGGAAATGTAAGATGGTATTGCTGATTACTCCATCACATACTTGTGTTAAATAATTTATTATTTTAGTCAAAATAAGTCTCTGTTAATGTATTTATGAGCTAATTTATGCTAAATGCTACGTATGCAAAAGAAACCATGAATTTTCAAGTGTGAGTCACAACATTACTCTCTAAAAAGTTTAACATACTTCATATATCTCACATCATATTATAAACAATACTGCTGCGTCGGCATTAGTATGGTCATGGTCCTGTTTTAACCGATTTCAAAAAAAGAACTCAACAACAACAACGTTATTCTTTTTAATCTGACGCAATAAAACTAATTCATGAGTGTCATACCATGTCTCCCTCCGTGTGAAGGACAACTGTTTCTGGAGAAGTTAGTCGATGGCGAGTCAAGGCTGGGGTTTAAAATAAGCAGAATGGGACCTGGTGACGTCCACATGACACAGATGTACAAACAGAAAAACACTGGTGTTGCGACAAGCAGGTAATTCAAGATAGATCTCAAGCTCAAAAACAACATTTGCATTATACTTTACTGGTAAAAAGAAATGCAGTTAAATCCTAATGGCCATCGTAAGCTAAACAGGGAGTCATTTACAACATCTCCACTTCTCCATCTCTTCACAGAACAATAATTAGCCCTGTTTATCGTTGTTAACCGTTGTAATAGAGAGGGACATTTGAAAATACATAATAAAATACCAACCTTTCGCCTGCCGAGCTCGTTGTTTATCTTTTGGGATACAGAATAAAAATGAATACTGTCACCAATTTCTCCAACGGTCATTGATTCGGATCTTCTTCCGGGTCGTGACGTAAAGCGTCGTCAAGCTCGTCGTCGTTCTGCAACCGAGCGCACATGGTGGTTTGTCTCCCTCCAGTGGAAAATATAGAAACATACTATATCAGAAACACTGCCAGGGAACTTTAATTTACAATAGGACTAGAACAGACGGAATTCAGAAAATACACATTTTCTTACATTATTTTCTTTCTTTTACATTAACGTACGTCATATGTCTAACCAAACTCTTTTCTATTTTGTGTTTAGCCTGTTTCCAGGCAAATATTGTGTAAAAATGTAACACTTCACTCATTTCCACACACCTCCATTAAACAGCAGACAACAAAAAGACAACAAACACATCAAAAAAGCAACATCTATTTGAATCACAAGTAATAAAGTGTCTTTTGGGCTAAAATGTATTATTTCTTTGATATGATTATGGAACACAATAGGTGTTATATATCACACTAGAGTTTGCACTAGGAACACATTTCTTTATGTGCCACAATATACATCTTTATCTAACAAATTGGACATCTCCATCCACGACAGGTCCCACTGAATTTCAGTCACATCCTGTGTTGTAGCAGGAGGTGCCTGCGCTCCTTTCTCCTGTTTGGAAACTGGCCAGCAGCTCTGGATGCAAATCATTTTGTACCTTCACACAAGGACACCTGACATGAGATTTTTGCCAAGAATCTTCTGACTCTGTACATACAGTATAAGTGTAATGCAAGAATATTTAACTGATATTTAAACTGACCTGTAGTAATAAACAAGGCCCACAACTAAAGACGTGAGGAGCAGAAGTACAGCTACGCTGGATCCTACGATCACCTTCCACGAGCCTGAAAATTATGAATATTAGTTCATAATTTATAAAATGTTTATTAAGATTAAGAGTATTAAAAACTCTCATTTTGTCTAACTAAAGCATGCACTTTATTCACATGTTAGAGAACTAACCCCTGCTCTTCAGTGAATGAAGCTGTTTCAAACACTCCTATCACTTCAGTACACATCCTGCTGCAGATAAATTTAGGTCATATCAGATTTTTTTATTGATTGCATGATCAAAAAGAGTCTACTTTTAATTCTCACCTTTCAAGACACCTCTGTATAGGACAGAATCTCTAACTGCATTTTCTAAAAAAAAAAAAAAAACTTTAGGTCCTGAACATACATATACATTTAACATTTTCAGTATTGCTAGTCGTTTGAATAGTAGCTCCCAAGGCAAAAAAGTGTGGACACTCCTGGTTTAAAGACACATTTGTGGTCATTGGTTAATGACACGCTTGATTAAAATCCTAATCCTTAGGAAAAACAAAGAGTCTTAAAATATTGTTTTCATGTATCACATTGTATTACTTTGTTTTTTGACACTGAGATCCATGAACTTTTATATTTCGTTCATTAATATTTTATAAATCACCAAACCTGTTCACCTCTGTTAATTAAACTCTTCCTAGTTCAAATCTAAAGACAATGTAATTTGAGTAAAACGTTCACACAGCCTTTTAGCAGAAGCTAATCTTTGTATTGTTTTCATATACAGTAGTACTTGTAGAAGTTGTGTAGAACTTGACAACAAACAATATGCCAGCTTTGACCCAGAGCTGCCTCTATCATGATCTTCACTAATGTCAGTGTTTGAAGTCCACTGTTTGGACTTTTTAAATGAGGCCTCAGTAGATTATCAGCTCCACAGGCTTAAAATACTGGCATAAACTGTGCCCTCTGGGATGAAAGATTAAAGATTGAGTTTGACTTTTTGTTCAAAAATGAACATTACAGACATCAGCAGGTGTTCAGTGGATTTTTGACTTGCTTTCCTTTGTCTCAGTCATCAGTCACATTTTTAGTTATAGTGAATATCCATGTCTCAGATTTGCAGTTGTTACTGTCGCTCTTTCTTTTTCTACTTTTCTAGTAACATTTCACTTTTCAAACTTAGAGGATTTACAGCATGTGTGTTGAAATGAGCTCACCACTGCTGGAAGTTGGTGGCTCTTCTAAAGATGTGAAGTTTCCTAGAGGACAAAACAGAATAGCTTATTTTTAACACTGAAGTCAGAGTGAAATATTATATGGGTAATATATTATTGGATGACCGACCTCGGTCAGGTCGCACTGACAGCCAGCTCCCTGAACTCTGCATCTTTCCGTCTTGTGAAGCACATCTGTAGAAGCCTTCGTCGTCTCGTGTTACGTTGCGGATCACCATTGTTGTTACTCTCCCTGAAGTTGCAGTGGTGATTTTTTTAATTTCTTCTCCATTTTTAAAAAAACTTGTTTTAGTATGGCTGCCTCTCTGATACTGACAGTACAGGGAGACAGTCTCGCCCTCAACCACAGGGAAGGCAGGAGTTTTCAGGATGATGGTGCCATCTGTAGGACGGAGTAATAAAAGACAATGACTTTAATTGTAATCGAACTTATTTACCACTTTGGTTTGTTGACTACTCTGTGTTACATAGACAGTGGTCCTACAACAACACTGCTGATAGATGAGACTCACAGCTTACTGTAATGTAGACTGCATTGCTGCGGCCCGCGGGGCCCTCACACCAGTACAGTCCACTGTTCCTGCCAGCAGCAATGAACATTAACACATCAGAGTTTTTTGCAGGAACACCGCCTCCTGGTGTTAAATGGTGGGCAGAGACAACTGTGGTCCCCGTTGAGTTGCCTGGGAGGAAATGCATCAATTTCCAACTAGAGGAGTCAGTCTGAGAGGTTGGACACTGCAAGGTGAAACGCTCTCCTCCCAGCATATGTCTGGCGTTGGGAGTGAGAGACAGTGTGGGAGGGGATAGGTCTGGGTGGAGAGGGAGAGTGAGAGAAAGGAGGGAGAAAGAAGGAGGGAGAGGGAGAGTGAGAAGTTCTCGTCATCTACTGTATAGTCAGAATTTCACACTTTTCTATAAATTGTCCTTCTGAGTCTTTCTTTAATTCGTTAATTACAGTTGAAGCTGTAATTAATGCACGTAATGCTGCTTTAATCAGACCGCCAGGTAAAAATCAAATGTTTTTTTTTGATAGTGAAATAAGTGAAATAATAACATTTCCAAAAGGTGCCACACAATCTAGTTCAATGCTTTTCTTTTTGTCCATCCATCTATTTTTTATCTAAACACCTTTTCTGCGTTGCGGCAGCACCAGAGTTGAACACCTTTTGTACCTTTTTCTGATGAAAGTCTGGATTTGCCTGACCACCAATCACTTTTCAGCCGTCTCCTGTTCCACCTCAGACGGTCAGATGTGCTCAGGCCAGAACATGTTGGCAGCTTAGAACTAATACAAGTCTTCCTTCTTCTTTCTTTTGTTTAATAAATACTGAATTGAAATCAAAGTTACACAAATTAAATTGTTTTTCTCAATTCATATTAGGTATTTCTGTTATACGGTCAACAAGGACCCTAATGTTGGTGCATGTGCTGTTATATTAGAAATTGATACTGTCTTACTCTGCAAGTGTTTACATGAGTATACACACATTTATTTGTCCAGTGGAGCCTGAGCTGACCCTTCATAAGAGAGGTTAGAAGAGCTTTCTGTTTCTGTCCGTAGCAGAAACCTGATGCCACACTGCAGAGGTCGCCGCTCGCAGCTACATCTTACCTGACACAGTGAGCGTGACCGGCCGAGCTTCCACTACGTACACACTCCTGTTCCCCCGACACTCAGCTTGGCACCAGTACTTGTCAGCATCCTCCACTGTGACAGCAGTGATGTAGTAGCTGTCCCTGGAGACCAGGTGCCTGGGGTTTGGAGCAGAGTGTTTCTGGGACCTGAACCACAGGTAGTTCTTCACCGATGTGGAGTTTGACTCCACTGCACACAGCAGCATCACACACTCACCGAGGTAGATGTTTGACCCTGGAGGTCTGACAGACACGGTGACCTCCTGAGATTCTGCAGTAACAAAGAGACTCCATTATGACCTGTTTCATGACTGTGAACGCAGTGTGAAGTGGATGATTTCTAAAAGTTGTACCTGGAGCTGCAACTTGTAGGACCAATAAAACGACACCTGAAAACACAGAGAGAAGATTATAGCAGAAACACAACAGAAGCACAGTAGCCTGTGCTGCAGCCTGGTTCTGACACATCTGCAATATACCAGGTGAGTTGTGTTTAATTTGATGAAATGCATTGCTGTCTGCTGAGCTCAGGTTTAATACATTACTACAAGCACAGCCAGCTCAGATGTTTTATTCTCTGATGGCAACGTGCCAGTCAGACTTGATCTACTGCGTATTGTGACTAATTTAAGTAAAACAATATAGAGTAAATAATCCTAAGGTGCTGGTGTGACAAAAATGATAATTACATCTACGAGGTTAAACATGTCAAAGAAATAAAGCAGACAACAAACCGTGAAAGCTGCCTTTTCACTCTCTATCTCGCGCTTAAACACACACACCCACACACACAGACACACACAGAATCCTTTTACTGCCACTCGTGTGACGGAGCAGAGCTTCCAGTTCTTTAATGAGACTACTTAAGATGGTTATCATCCCCATGGGAACAGAAGGAATTCATGCACATTTTCAGTGCTTTCCTGTATTTTCATTCACAGTGTACGATCCAAAGTTGAACGAGGTGCTACTCCACTGCAGCCTTAGCTTTTTTTGGACCTTACTGGAGACAGTAATAAATGAATGAAGGAACTAACATAAAAATTGCCAGGCTTTATTAAAATTATAACCATTAACCACTGATTGGCATTAGTGAACATTATTTTATTCGTTTTAATCACCTAGCCGCTCAGTAACAGACAGGTTACATTTACAACCCTGAAAACCGTACGAACTACACTTCTACACTGCACTGACAGCTAAGTAAAAGAGTGCACTGGATGTCAGACGACATTCAGGGTGGGTTTCAATTCAGCACTGTTACTCACCGAGCAGCTGCATGGTGTACATTCTTCCAAAGAAATGTTGGATGTTCCTCTGTTGTTCTTATAAAAAAAAGAGTGTGTTTCTGAAGTCCACAGCAGTTTAAGTGTACTGTGTACTGTGTACTGTAGGAGACAGAATAATAATGTGTCTCAGGAAGCAGTCCAAGTCACAACACAGTGCATCACAGATAGGGCTGGTCATCTTGATGAGACTTTTCCTTCCTCTGGAAACCATAAAAAGTGGTGGGTGGAGAATTCTGACAGCAGTGACAGATGTGGTCATTTCAATTTGTATTTTTCAGCTCTTACACACATGTACTGTATACAAATACACGCATATCACGTGTGTCCTCTAAATTAATTCCTGGAAATATTTTAGACTATCCTGTAGGTCCAGTCTAATACACTCCACAAGGCTAATGTGTGTGTGTGGACGTCTGAATTCATTGGATTATAACTTTGTTTTACCTCTTGGTTCTCTCTAGCTCTTGTCTACAGGGCCTTAATGTTTATTTTCTCTCCTCAGGTCTATTTTATTTCATTCAAACTAATTACTGGCGTACACGCAAGTCTAGATGAAGATAGATAATTTCAACAACCAATACCTTAATTCTACTTTACTTTAAACAAAACCCCAGCTGTGGTCGACACAGAAACCTTTTTTAACCATGGTGCTTTGTTTACATAAATGAATGGTATATTATGTGGCTCAAGGAAGATGATAGTTTATAATATTTTTGTCCATGATTTTGAGTGCCAAATACATAATTTGGCCTTATATATATATATATATANACGTCTTACTGTGTGAAGTAGCATCCATACAGCTAGTGGGTAATGATCTTTGCATCCACAGGTAACTACCACCGCCTCATTATAGCTCTGTGATGATCCACGCCCCTCTGTCTCCTCACCCCTGCCTCTCCTCCTCCTCCTCCAGCGTCTCTCCCTCATCCTTTCTCCCGACATCCACAGGGTCTGTTCCTGGAAGTGCGTCTGACAAACGGGAGAGAGAGGGGGAGAGAGAGAGGGGGAGAGAGAGAGGGCAAGAGCGAGAGAGAGCGAGGGCATCGGCAGGAGGGGTAGTGTTGTAGAGGGACACAGGAGCAGACATGGCTTCTAAAGAGATCATTGCCTCTGGATTCGTCAGTGTGAACAAGGACATCACAGGTGGGTAAAGAGCGCCGCTTGGCTGAATTTTGCGCCCGTGTCTTGTTGCGGGTTAACACGTCGCACTCGTGTCTGCTTTTCGTGCATGCCTGAGTTGCTGTGTGTGTTTGTGGATGCCTCTCCTGTGCGCGTCTGCTGGAGGCTGTGACCGAAGCAGACGCATTGGATCATTGTCATGATGAGCTGCACCTTTACGCTCTGTCCCGGGGCTTGGAGCGTCTGCTCCAGAGGAGCTGCTCTATTGTCTCAGTGCATGTGGACGGAATTGGTTCATTTGGAGGTGATCCATTTACCGTGCGTACATTAATGCATCACCGCATCCTTTATCGGGGGTTTCAATCTGCTCCTTGGCTGAGATCAGGTGCTAAACACCCAGCCTTAGGCCAGAGAGGAAAAGGGGCGTTGTGGAAATGATACGCGTGCGTGTGCGTGCACTCTGGACTCTCATGGTGTCCTGCTTTTTCACGCTGTTTCCTCCCCTTTAACACGGTGTGTGTTATAGCTCTGCCTTACTAACCGTAGAGGTCTTTTGAATACTACCGTGTAAAAGTCCAAGTAAAGGCATATGTTGACTACATCCGGTCCAAAATGCAGTGGGCTGCATGAAAAATCAAACTCTTCTTCTTCTTCTTCTTCTTCCACAAAGCTCAAACATTTCAGAGTTGGGAGTGAAGTGTCAAACACTCACATGTTCACCCAGGGTGGAGCAGGGGACTTGGCTGCTGTGTTAATTACTCCTAATGGCTCTATTAGACCTACTGTGATGATTAATCCACTGGAATCCCTGCTCCTTGATTTATTCACCTGCTGAGAAGCAGCACATCCTCCTCTTCCTCCTCTCTTTTTTATCAGTGTGCACCGACATGACATTAGGGGCCAAGATGGCCTGGAGTCTTGCAACCTGCACAAGGTCACTGGTGAGCTGAGTCAAGATTTCCTTTCTGTCAAAACATGGCCAACTGGCATAGTTGCTTTTTCATTGAGTTTCAATGGCCACACTTTAAACTTTAGGTACCAGCAATGCCACCTGCTGGTAAGCAGATAAACTTGTCCTTATACAGTATTCACAAAGGAAAAGAAACAATCATCTAGAAGCAGAGGGAAGGATTTCACCTGGAAACAAAAAAAAAACAAAAACAAACATTAACCACTACTTTGGGCTTTGAATGAATTAGGCCACTGCATTACTAATGATAATTAACAAACTCCCAAAACACACACTATTCCATCATATTGACTAATGGATCTTTACTTACTTAGACAAAGATTCAACTAACAGAAAAATGCTTCATATATAAAACCTTCACACTCCAGAAATAAAATCCACATTTTTACACAGGAGCACGTGTTCAAGGTCACAGAAATCTGTCAAAGGAAAAGAAAAGACAAGGACGTTATGCCGTACCTCAACTGTGTTCATTTACCTCACAGGTCTCGATCTCTGCTACTGTCCAGAGTAAAAAAATGGATTCCTCAGGGAAAAGGGAAAAGAATGACACAGTTTTAACAGAAACAGCCATTACACACTGTATAGTTGATATAAAGTCATAGTCATATTCATGCAACTTCATGTACTTAACTGGAAAAATACTTAAAAATGAAAATTGAACACACACACCAAGTGTTACCTTATTGCCCTGACCAGCTTAAAGGGCTGGCCCTGCTCTTTGTGTTGTAACCTTTTATAAAATAAAAATGTACAGGGAGTAACCTAGACAGTACTCAGTGACCTAGAACAACAGAACTGTGTTATAATGACCTTGATTGTTCTGTATATGGATGCTAGTTAGTTTATGTGTACATCCTAATTTGTTTTAGGAATAAAAACAAAAAGCTTTTACATGTCTCATGTCAGATCAGTTGTGAAAAGAAAAGTGGAAGAAGTGGACACGTGTATTCAGTAGGTTGTGTCAACTTCAAATATTTTATTAACCCACTAATGGCTTCTTAGGAAGCTTATTAAAAGCTATTAAAATGGATGTTTTTGTGTGCTGTCCTCCAAGTAAAGGGTGAACTTTTTTTTATACTACACAAACTATAGTTTTCCTTTGCGACTTGCTTTATAACAAACATTTCATTGATTTAACATAGACTCTGGTGTGTATCAAACCAGGCTCCAGTTAATTGGCTAAAAATCTGTGTGAACAAGTTCTAGTGTCTCAAACTGGCTCCTGGCAACAGCACAAACAATATCATTAGCTCTGAGTCCGGAGCCATCCCCGTTAACCGGGTGCACCTTACACATTTTTCTGCCTCCAAAAACACGGCTACAGTAAGCCTGCTTCATTAACAGGAGGTCTTGCTTTAGCATCTTAGTGTTATTGTATCCACTCAGGTTTCCAATCCCACCAGCCCAGGCTGCTTTGCTGCTATTGATTAGCTCTTGTCAGCCGGGATGCAGTGCTGGCACAGAAATAGAGAGGCTGAATCATGTAATTCGTGCCACAGACTGTATTTTTCTGTGATATTAGTGTCAGTGCCATGTGTTCTCGCCCTGTGAGTAAATCACTTCCCTCGGTGCAGCAAGCAGCTGACGTGCTGTACATAAGTCAGAGGTCAGAGCGGCAACAGTGATGGTATTTGACGGGAAGGCGTCTCTGTGGATGATACACCCTGATGCCCGCACAAGTGGTCAGACAACAGTGCATATGGTGGAGCAATGATGACAGCACATGTAGCTTTGGCCTTGTACACAGAGAGCAGAGACAAATGTGGTATGGTTATTCTATCAACTGTTATTTTATCGATTATTTTACGTAGCCAGTAAATACATTTTAGTGCTATTTCATATAAACAGCAGCGCAGTATGTCATTTTACAGCACTATGTGTAACTTCATTGTATATTGTTACATTGAATGTAACATACTTATATATAACAATATATATATATAGTATGTATAAATATATAGTAGTAGTACATATATAGTTTATATAGTATGATTAAAGACAATATACTATATAAATCTTTGAAATGACTGGAACGATCTCTCATCACCAAAGATGACTGTATTTTGAGCTTTGTTAAATTTGTTATTATATTATTCTCTAATGTCTTCATGGTTAGTGGTTCTCATCCTGCTTCACACTGGGCTTCAGTTGCAGCTGCAGTTTGTACCGAACACTAAGATCCTCATGGGTTGTCCAGATGGGTTTGACCACAGATTTAGATTATACGCCTTTGAGAATGAGTTCTTCCTGTGTAAATTTGGGTTGTCTCCAACCTCCTTCTCTGACTGAAAAACTATGCAGATTGGTAACTCCAAATTGACAGAGTAAGGTTGTGTGTGTGCGTCCAGATCCCCATGTGACCCTCAGAACATGAGCAATGCTAGATGTTAAAATGTAAGAATATTCTCTGCTGTACACAGACAGAGGATTCTGCAAAGTCATACTGCACATTGAACATAACATCTGTTTAGTTCCATTAAAATGATGTTGTACATTTATGGCACTGCAGTGCACTCTTACTAACACTGAATCAAAGTAGACCTGTTCCACATTTACTTTATCATCTGATTAAATAATTCAGTAAAATAAAAATGAGGGAAGACCACATAGGAACTGAGACAAATAGTTACTAGAAACTTAGGAACACAAGTTTGGACCGCTGGTGGTCAGTGATATATGATTCCTGAAAAATGCAGTGAAAAGGCTATGAATGATTAAAACGGAAAGAATACCTGTCAAGTTTGATTTTGTTGATAATGACGTGACGCTGTGTGTCTTCCATCCACAGAGAGCATCAGGAAGATAATTGATAAATCAACTATCAAGTTCATCTGCAGCATCAAGGTTGACGCTAAAAATGGGAAAACAGAGGACAGGATTCTGGTAAGTCTCAGTGAAGCCTGTGTGGTTTTAATGGCCCCCTGTTTAACGATAGCGCTGTAGTGCTGATGCAGGAGAACACCTTATTCCTGCTTCATAAGCACCTCTGATGCATGCATCATGTATGTGCAGCAGCTCTGATGGTAGCCTCGGCGGCACAGTTAATGGATCTCTGCCACAATGTTGATATATCCGTGACAGAGGTTCTCCATGATTTAACAGTCGGATTGAGCCTCGTGTGGTCACTCACCAACTGCATTACCACTGCTGCCCCTCGCCTGTCTGAGTGCTGCTGCTGCTGCTGCTGCTGCTGCTGCTGGCTTTGCGGGGGGGGGTTTGGGGTGGCGGGGTCTTGGGGGGGAGTTGTGGGG